GCTTGCTTCTCCGGGTGTCGATGTGCGTCTCTGGCTCAGCTGTTGAGCTGGTCTCTCAGAAGGACGTGGTATCTTTTGCTTCCCTTTTCTCGCCCCCTGCGCAACCCCTGGGACCAACCGCCACCCCACCCCTCCTGGGAGGCCCTCGGGTCTCAGACAGGGCCAGCAGCTGCCGCTGCCTCCGGAGGATCAGAGATGAACCACCCCACCGCCCAGTCCCCTCCATCTCCTTCCTCTGGGCTTAATTAAGGAGGGTGGGTTTGGTGTACAGAGAGGTGGAGGGGGCTAGTCCTCAGAGCAAACTTCTCCAGGCCTCCACCAGCTCCTGCCCCTCTGGTGACACTTCCCTGTCACCAGTGTTTTCGGAACCCCTCCCTACTACCTGGATCTGGGATGAAATCGGCTTCCTCTCTTCTGGGGTGGTGACGGTTTCCCCAACTTTGCCTGCCCCCCTTTAACACCTGATGGACGCTTTAACACTGCTTCTGTCCCTTCCATTGCTGGAAGGGACAGCGAGGCTTTCCTCCCTGTCTGTGTGTGTGTGTCTAGAGCTGAGTCCAGCCCATGTGTGGCACAAGTGAGTGCCTTCGATCCAGTGTTTCACACTTGAACTCCACGCATGCGACTGGCGTCTACCTGTGCGTCCCTCACACCGTTTGGCCAGGTCCTGGGGTGTCCACATCTGTGCGTGTGTTTCTGCATGTGTGTGAGGGGGGTGGAAGGAGAAAGTCATTGTGTTTTGCCGTGGTGGGGAGCCCCTGGGCATGAGGGTGTGTCCCTGAGTGAGTGTGGATCTGCAGCCTGGTGGGCATCACGTGAGTGTCTGTGTGCCTACGAGGGTGAGCCTAAGGAAGAGTGACTGGCTGGGTGTGTATCCAGGGGGAAGAGACAACCTCCCTTTGCCTTCTGAGGCTGGGGTGGGGGGTGGGGGAGAACGATGGAGTCTCCTGGAAATCAGAGGCCAGGCCCCCCTCCTCCTTCCATCCAAGAAGTGTGAGTCTCCGGAATGGCGTGCACCCGCCGTGTGCAGTGTGTGCGACCGTGAGAGCGTATGATGCCGCAGATCTGGGGAAATGTGTGCAGAGCGGTTGAGAGTGCTTTTACGGGGGTGGTTTTTCGCGGGTGCTTGTGTTTCTGGACAAGCAAGTACAGGTGTGTGGATAAGTGCTTTCGGTGTGCGTTCAAGTGTGGACATGTGTGCCTTGGCAAGGCCGCGAATGTGTGTGTGCCTGCCTTATGTTTGCCGGGTGCGTGTGTGTATATACATTGATAGCTGGTTGCCACTGTGGTATACCTCACTAACAGCACCTTGATCCATTGCTTCCGTGAAGTCACTTGCTGAAAAGCTAAGGGTTCCCACACGATCCCTCAGTCTCACCAGGTATCGCCAAAGAGCATGATCTGTCAGAGGAGAGTGGTCATCCCTACCTCACTGCTGTGGGCAACAGAGGTCTGGCAGCCAGCTCTCCCATCACTCATTCTTCTTTTGTCTTCCATCATGTGCTCACCCATGCAACCATCTCCCCACCCGGCCTTCCACGCACCCATGCTTCTAGCCAGCCAGCCTTTCATCTACTGTATGAATCCCACAGACGATCAGGTGTCTCCCTTCTACCAGGCATTTTTGGAATGCCACCAGTTTACTTGGAACCCCCCAGCATGGTGCTTGACATAGTAGATGCTCAGCTAGACTTGAGTCACACGTAGCTGGGTGTGAATTCGGACCTCTCATGGACTGGTTGTGTGCCCTTGGGGAGATGACTTAATCTCTCTCGACTCAGTTTCCCCCGTTATCCATTCACGGTTAGGGGGTCAATTCTGGCTCCTAGCAGCCCCTATGGGACAAAGTAGAACTGCCCCATTTGGTTTCCAAAGACTGTTCATCTTGACAGAAGACTGTCTCATCTTTCTCCCATGGAGCAGCTGGTGGGCTGGAACCACCAACCTTCTGGTGAGCAGCCAAGTGCTTTAACCACTGTGCCACCAGGGCCCCTGTCCCCTCATGTGTCTGAACTGTACGATCCATAAGTCTATCTCCCTGCGTCCTGCACAGCATTGAACTACAAGGCCTGATGCATAGTAGGCGCACCATAAATATGTATCAAGGGACTGAAGCAACAACTACGCCTTCATAGGGATTTGTGGATTCTACCTTCCGATGGAAGCAAATGGCTGGGCGCAGAGTAGGTCTTCCATAGGAAGGGATTCCCCGCCCCCTTACCATGGTGGCCAAGCACATAGTAGGCCTGGAATAAACATTTCTCAAGTGTCTAAATCAAGGATTGAGGAGAACACATGGAACGGGTGGGAGCGTAGTAGGTGCTCAGTGAAGAGGAACTGTAGGAAAACGGCGAGGGCCGACAAGGAGCTCGAGGAGGTCAGCAAATCGAGTGCTGTGGATTCCCAACGTCCAGGCCTCAGCAGGTCGGCTACTGCGCGTTGGCATTGCATAGGCCCTTCATGGGGGGGTGGGGGTGGACCCAGACTCTCTGGCTTCCTCTTCCCCAATCCAGAGAAACAACTTAGCATTCTTGTGGTTACAGATCATCTCTGGGAGCCTGACGTGACTTATCCGCATGCTGTTAGGTGCAGGTACCCCCCCACCTTTCCCCTGGAGGATGAGGAGGGAGAGAAGGGGCTTGGGTGTTCTGTTTTAGAGATCCTGTCTCCAATGACAAGGCTCCGAGCCACTGCCGGATGTTCTTATAAAGAACTAAAGCTCAGACTCCTTTTCTTGATGGGCTTCTGGGGGAGATTCTCCGTATCTGTCGAGAGCAGCTGAGTTACCCTGTGATGAGGAAGCGCCTCAGCTCCCAGTGGTCTAAGACAGTCCAGGTTTATTTCTGACTTGCCTTGTTGTGTCTCTGTCATTGGCGGGGGCAGGTGGGAGAGGAGGGCTCTGTCCATGGTACCTCAGGGGCCCCACAGGATCCAGACTCCTGCAGGACAGGAGCAGGGAGACATCATCGATCCCATGCAGGTGCCACATGGTCCTCCTCACGTTGCCCGGCCATACTTAACTTCAAAGATGGGGAGGAGTGTGGCCCTACCAGGAGGAGCTGGATGGAGACACCAAACAAACTACCAAATGCATCGCCATGGAATCCACTTCCACTCCCAGCC